TGTACTGTCTGGGGAGAGACAGTGCCGAACTGCGCAGCGACACGATCGAAGTTGCTTCGATTCACCTTGAAGCTCGTCCTGAGTAGCAAAGCCCGTCTCTGAAGCATGTTGAAGGCGACGAACATAAACGAATAGTGTTCCTGGAACCGCCGGTCTGCGAGATTAAACAAATGTTTAATATGGCGTTTGAAGCTGAGCCGACTGGGTCGATGACGGTCCTCGAGACCGCCAATGCCGTAGGGGAACAAGGTGGGATACATCATGGGAAAAAGAGATGGGTTATCGAACTCATTCGCGGGGTTAGGATCGTGGGGGAGCTCGATATAATTAGAGCCAGGTCGCTTCATGTGAGCAAGAGCAGCGGACCGCAGTTCACTCGACGGCGCGTTTCCGTCAACGTCAGCGACTACGACGCTCTGAAACGGGATGGAACTGGGAGGGGGGTTGAAAATCTCCGAGAGGTTTGGGAGGTCAGGCCCAGCGGGTTGCACAGGAGGCTGAGAAGAACCGGGAATATAATCCGAAGTAGTTATATCTATACCGTCGTTCGGGATAATATGCTGAATGTGAAATGGGAGTATAGATTCGTCTGGAATCTCATCGATGGCCGCATTATCAATTACAACGTCGAGGTACAAATGATTATGGATTTTGAGCCACGCCAATGTGTTCTGGACACGCTCTTTTCGAACACAAAGCGGAGTAGCCTTTTCTTTGAGCCATTCCGCGGTGGGAGCTTTGGATCCTACAAACACGACACATATCGGAGTTATGACATCGGCAATAGGAGGAGGAAGGGTCTGCGCGATGGCGGATGGCCGCTGGGGGTACACGATTATGTGCCCTTTAACACCACGCTGGGAAATGGGGATCGTGGTGTCGCCGTCATCTTCACGAAGCTGGACAATCCAACATTTGGCCCTACAGAGGGCAATCATAGCCTCTTCAACCACGGTGAGATCTTTCAGCTCCGCAGGGACAGGACCCAGGTACGTTCGATTGGCACCAGACTGCGGGGGGACGCGGCCTTTCTTCAACGCAATTTTGCACATCCGGCACACAGCAAGGCATGGTTCTTGCGTCTCCTCGTCCGACTCCAGGCTAGATGGATCAATCAGCAAGCTGGCATATGGACTATGGCTGGGCATCGGCATGGGGGGCGGGGGACAGCGTCGATCGAGCCAGGGATCCGGGTCTTCGTCAACATCGGTATCATCGTCGGAAGACTCACTTGCAGAGAGCTCGTCCGTGTCGTGGTCCAAAACAACCTCGTCCGGACGCCTTAGCAAGTTGAAGTCGAACTCCTCAAAAGATATCGTTTTCTTCTGGTCAACAGGACAACTTTCTGTGCAGCTCCCGCATACGAACGTGGAAAGCGCTTCGGACGAAGTTTCGAATCGAAAATGGGCCAGGCACTTGCGTTTTAAATGGTCAGGCACAATTTGGGGCCACTCAGCCCGGAGTCGAGCATGTGTCTGGGCCCTAGAACGGCGCGCTGAACCAGTCAAGGTTAAATCGGGGCATTTTCCCCGGAGCAAACGAAGCAGAAATTTCTTGAGATGTCGCCTGAGTGACTTGGGCTTGTCAGAATTCTTGTACGAAACGTCGTGCAGATCGAGGAGGCGTCTGAGTGGACCTAATTTGAGGATTGGAGCAATCTGCTGTATGAGATATATCTGCATTCGGGTCGCCGGGTCATCTGCGGTCCCGGGTTCAGCGACAGACGGTCCGAGCTGCGAATCAACAGACGAACAGGCAACGAAGGAGCCTTCGTGACTGGTGCAGATTCCAGTCGCCACATGCTTCACAATCGCGGTTCGCATCTCGTGCATCGATGGGTTGCCCGCGAAACGAAGACCATGCGATTTAGCGACAACCAATAGGGACGACTTAGGAACCGAACCGAGATTCTCAAAGACATTGCGAATAGACTGCGCGGCGGTTTGGTCCTCGACTAACTTCCGGCGTTTCTGGCACAGCTGTAGATCGAAATGTAAGCGAGATTTGTCGGTAAGACCCAAGCACGAAGCGACAAGTTCAAGGCGGTCGTCGGGGAGTCTTTCCTCAGGTGCGGAGGCAAAGAGACTTAACACGGCATATATCATGGAGCGCGTCGAGGGAAAAACGGTAGAGAACTGACTGCAATGACAGACGTGTTTGTCACGTTCCCCTTGATTGCAGGACACTAGAGCGCAAGATCCAGACAGGAAGTGGGTCACCAGCGCCTGGCGGACGTCAAGGGCAGAAGGAGTTCCAGGCAGTTCGAGGTGGTGCATCACTAGTAACTTCTCAAGAGAGGGCGCGTTCATTGTGAATATGTTTAGACTGGGGTCGGGGGAAAGAAGGAGTCGCTCAATAGAGTCGACACCCCTTCGATCAATGGAAACTTTAACTTCCGGCACTTTAGATGAGGTAGTGGCAACCTGGGGAGGTGGCGTATGCCTGGCATCAGGCGAAGAAGGGGGAGGAGGCTTAAAGTTGATAAATTCGGGCGTGTGAGAGACAGGGACATGGAGGGAGGAACGGGGGCGCGACGAAGGGACACGGGGCGGATGGCCGGATGCGGGGACATATGTAGCATTGGTAGGCGCGGTCAAACTAGCTATCGGTGTTCGAATACCGGTACGAGTAACGGATGCACAAGGCGGTTCAAAGTTCAAAGTTTCAGGATAACGGGTGACGTCATGTCCGTGATGGACGGCTTGCCAAACGAATCAGCAAAGGAAGAATGTAAAAACAGGCAAAGACTCACGCTGACTAGGTACCGCGCGTTGGCCGGAGAGCGCAGGAAAGTCGGATGGAGCTGGACGGCGGTGAGTAGGGCCATAGAAGCACGAGGGGAGTTGGGGCACGAACCACGAAGAGGATGGGCCGGGTGGGTGAAGAATACCCAGGCACTGAAAGTCCGATCCAGTCGGTATTCGTACTGAAGGAGCGTCTCGCGGACGTGAGAAGCCCAGTCTAGGCCGAGGACAACATCAACGGGAGCGGGCAGCGCAGCGCACTCCACGACACTCGAGAAAGGGGGAAAGCCAGGAACGGTGGTGACGAAGAGCAGCCGAGCAGGGTCAACGGGGCCGAGACGCTGGCAGAACAGAGGGGATATAACGGTAACCGCCACAGGGTTGAAGAGAACGCTGAGGACGGGAACGCCTGCCACAGAGAGGGACATAGTAAAATGCGTAGAGGGAAAACGGCGGGATAGCGGGGGACAGTGTAGTGTAGATGGTCGCAGGAAGTTAAAGGGAACGACCGGTTACCAGTAACGAAAGGACACATGATATATTTGATCCCATCTATCAATCAGTTTGATTGACACAAAACGAGGATCTTTATTTCCTTATTCGAAGGTGAAAAACCTGGATTATTCCGTGCCCCCAAAACCCACTATCAATATAGATAGCGGGCATACGCTCTAAGTGCTAGTACAGTGGAAAAAAGTGGATGGGCCATGTATGAAGTCTCTACTAATAGGATGCAAAGAGAAGAAAAAACAGCCCATACGGCTATGTATGTGCCAAAAGGACATGTAGTGGCGGTTCTGCCTCCCGCCTGGGCACACGGGAGGCGGGAGGCGGGGAGTTTTACCATGGGAAACAGTTGCGAGACGCACCTCCCCCTCCCTAAGAGCTCATCCAAGGTTTCCGTTCAGAATCCGAGAGGCTGAGAATGAAATGGCGGCTCAGTACAGCACAGAGGAAAGAAGTCACAGCCCCGGGGGAGTAGCGGCTCTATTCTAGCTGCGTGGCCTGGCTCGTGGCTCTATCGGTCTTTGGTTGAGATGGGCTCAGTCGGCGTGCCCAATAGCGCGGGGGTGTTTGGCTCTGTTGGGGGGGGGAGGGGGGACGGGGGGTTACGGCACATCACTCGTATGGGTTTTCCACCCACTTTACTGGGTATCCCCAGAAGGAAAAATTGAAAAAATCGCCCTGAAAGAGGGGATTTCGAGGGATTTCAATGGGACCAAGTGTGAATATGTACCCATCGTATGTGTGGAATGTGGCACAAGAGCAGCCAATTTTTTCTTGGCGCGCTTCGCGCGCGCTGGACCAACGAACGGCAAAAGCCAGTGTTTTCCAACGAGATTCGTGTTCGGAATCACACGGATCGCGATTCTTTGACCGAAAATATGCACCATAGGCATAATGAAGCCTGGCAAGAGTCTCTAGAAGCTCACAGCAAGCTACGCCGCCGCCGGTTGGGTTGAATTTTATGCGGGAAGACAGATTGATTCTGAGTTCAACTAGGGAGAAATCCGGAGCCAAAATCCGGTGGATTCGACGGCCAGACCTTCAGATCAATCATATATTGCATATACAGTTCAAACAAGGCGAAACGGGGAAAGAATGAGCGAGAAATGGTAGGAGAGAGTGAGAGAGACGCGATTGACGGGATGTAACGCTTGTGACATGTTACCTGCCATGTTACCTGCCACTCTCGTGCTTCACCCTTTGAAGGTTTAAAAAAAATCTTCCAACTGGCTCAGCATTACCTTGCTATGACCCTCTATCTCCCCTATTATTTTTGCGAATTTAGAGCCCTGGGTTCAGGTGTAGTGGCCAACTGGCAGGTAACATACACAGCCACTGGCAGGTAACAACCCAGCACAGCCGGCGGTAAACCCTCGTATGCCCGATCGTCCGATCTGCTACCTCTTGGATGTGGTGTTGTGCCATTCGGCGCGCGTTCAACAGGAAATTCGAACCGCGGTCGTTAGTCCCGAATTCAGCCTCCAAGGCTCCATTGTTCGACTACAAAGCACCAGAAGGTCGGAATTGCAGTCAACTGCGTCGTAGGCAATATGAGATGGAACGAGAAAAAGATACACTGATTCGCAGACTGATCAATCATCAATGGCTCCGATATCAACTTGAACAAGGGACTCCGTTGTGTTACGGCGCATGGAGCACACCGCGAGGTGTTTTGCCTCAAAATTTACGTACGGGCTGGCACGGGTTTTGAAAGAAGGCAGGAAAAAAAGTATGCTTTTGGCTGACCTATGACCTGATCTTGATTCGAACAAGGAACGCCCTGCAACAGTATTTTCAATCACCTCGCAGTGAAGGAGGGTGTGTTACCGTTACACCACCAGGCCTTGCTGTTCTCTTTACTCGGCGATTACGTGTTATGGAATAAAACAAAATACTAACAAAATGAAGAAGTTTTGCCTAGCCACGATTCGAGCAAGACCTGATTGATTCGAACAAGGAGCTGGTAAGCCTATATGTACATACTCAATCACGTTAGACAAGCAGAGTGTGTTAACGTTACACCATGAAACTTTGCCTCTTTACTCGGTCGGCGATGTTAGGTACGTGCTGTAAACGTGAGATAGAAAAAGCTCGAGAGAGGGAGAGGGAGAAAAAAATCGTGCACATTCATGAATAACGGCTTGGCCTTGGTTCGAACAAGGAACTCCAGACCGATGCTTACACGTTCTTAGTATGAAAACAACGTGTGTTCCCATTATGATTGTGAAATTGCGATGTTCCATAGAGCCACGTTGACTCAAATTTGCCGCTGCACGTTCGCAGCAGGGTTGTATCGGGTTCTCGGACTGGACAGCGAGAACTGACAGGAGGCAGGGCCAAAATTCGAGGACTCCAGTCTTAAGGTAGGAGTACAGGCGCTGTCAGACACACGGCAACGGAGCCCGTCTTTGGGCTTTGCTTTGGCTTGATCTTTTTACGGTCGCCGTCTCGGAATGAGAAAAACACCCGCGGCCGGGAGGCGAAAGAGCCGTCGCAGGGGGTAATTTCAGCACCGGGCGCGAATCTATTTCCAGCCCAGAATGGCCGTTGTGGAACGGTGGAATGAGATGTTGATGAGATGTTGACCGGAAGAGGAAAAGGGTAAAACATTGGTCTTGTTTAGTCCTGAAGGTGATGCCCATAACCTGCGCAAACACGGTCCTCTCTTTTCAAACTCCACCACGATGAAAACGATGCGTTCCTCGCGCTCGGTTCATAAATAATATGGCGCAAAGACGCCTTGCAACTCGAGTGCCATGGCTGGCTGTGGTTGCTGAAGCTGAAGCGAAAATCTGGATGGCAAGCAAAAAGTCGAATGAAAAACCGGAAAACCGCGTCTTGCAACTTGTCTCGGAGTCGCCTGGCTGCGGAGGTCCAGTACAGTCTGCTCGAGTCGGCGCACTGAGGCTGTACCTTTGCTCATCTCACCGCGCTGAACGGAGCCCCTTCCGGATTGTCCCTCGGAACCGACAAGAAAGCCATAGCTGGGCGTCAAGACGCTTGCTGCAGCCTATTGGTGGCAAAATCGGAAAATTCGCTCTAAACGCACCGCAATCGTGGCCTATAGTCGACCGGGAACGTCGACGCTGGAGATGTGTGCAGCGGAAACGCCTCTGAAACCCTCGTCGCCCGTATCAGACTCCCATGGCAGTTCCGGATCTACACGACGAACGGCCGGCCCTGGGACCCTCCCCCTCTCGAATCCTCGCCTGTTGCACACAGTAGCAGACGCCGCCGCCGTTTGGCCTTCCCTTTGTGGATTACGCGCATGTATGAGCGCAAGGGCCCTCGTGTATCACGATCGTCCGGTGGCAGCAGATGGCTAGGAGGTGCAGGAGGGAGCGTGGATGTGATAAACCGGTCCTTACTGGAGTGCTACGTGAGTGAGATTTCATGTACTTACTCGCTCCTCTTCCTCTTTCCCTGGTCCTTTCTATCCGAGCCGTCGTGCTCTCTATCACCTGCCCCCTTTCCTCTTTCTCCTCGCGCATCCTCGTATTCTAACCTTTCTTCGGCTGTCCAGGTCTCCATACTACCCCGCCACTACAGAATCGGTAATCCTCCATCCGCACGACCTCGAGCTGCGGCGTTGCGCGTGGGGACAACGCGGTGCCGGATACCAGCGTCGTAGGAGTAACGCGGAATGTCGGCGCTCGCGTACGGTGGCATCCAGCTATGTCCAAAGTGCCTGCATCCGCGCGCACACCCTCCGACAACGATGCCGTCCTCGCTGCGGACCGTCCGCACCGTCTGGCAACGGCGGCGACCACCACCACCACCTCTACTTCGACCTATCCCTACCCATCCCTCCGTCTGCTACTACTTCCGGATCCGTGCACCTCCCGAAACGACGCCCGGCAAGGGCGCGTGTCCCGCGGACGCTGCCATACCTGGTTCCCCCGGCCGAGTCGAGGCGGGCGTCGGCTTTGGCGTTGCCCTCAGCGGACGAGGGAAGGAGGGGATGAGGCGAGGATGTGTGCTGGGCCGATTTCGAATCGCCGTACAGACCGCGGTAGCGCGGGTGCCGGTACATCGACGTCTGCGGTGCTGCGTTGCAACTCGCCACAAAGGCCTCGGGAGCGGCTGTACGTCGAGGAAGTCGACGCGGTCGTCGGCGACTGCGACGGGGAGGTCGTCCGCGACGGGAGCGGGTCGCTGCGCGTCCATTCAATATTCATCTCTCCAGGTATCCATGCTCGCCCGTCAATGCAGAATCGAAGGCGCGTCTTGTGCGCTCCATCTGCTCGAGCTCGAGCTGCGCGTCGCGCACAGGGACGACGCGGTGCCGGCTACATAGACGTAGGAGTCAGCGGGGAAATTCGCCGCGAACTACCGACGGCAATGACGACTGCCCTCTTACAGCGGTCTCAAGCAACTCTCTCTGCGCACGCGCCCTACAAGAACTCGTTTTCTTGGCAGACAGTCTAATCAGGGACCGCAGCATAGTTGACAAAGTCGGCGGCCACCGCACCGTGTCTACTTGGACCCCGCCTTGCTTCTTTTTCAACAGCTTCCGCGTCCGTGCACCATCCAAACCACGTCTGGTGTGTGCTCCGCTGACTTGGACTCGCCGGCAGCGCTACGTCGGCAGGCCCTCCAGCCGGTACATCCTCGTCTGCGGTTGCTGCCATGCTGCGTCGCGCCTTGCCAGCTAGGAGACATGGGCCTCGGCGGGGGGCTGTACGTTCACGAAGTCGTCGGCGACGCGACGGTGGCACGGGGAGGTCGTCCGCGATGGGAGCGGGGATCGCCGCGCGTTCATTCAATGGGACGAGAGGCGGCCGGAGCAGCTTGGGTCGTCAGCGACTAGGAGGCAGGTTGTGTCATGCTGCTACCTCGTGCCTTGCTGGGACGAAAGTGGCCACCGGCAGCGAGCACCCCGGATCTCGACTCCACGACGGTGGGGAGCGCAGCGACTCGCCGCTTAATGGTAGAACAAGGGTGGCAGTCGGACAGGCCCTGTGTCGACGAGGTCGTCGGCGAATGCGTTTGACGGTTCTGGGGAGGCGACTAGGCCGTGTGTCCTGATGCTGCGACTCTGTGACGGTGGGGAGTGTAGCGACGCCGCTTGCAGGGCTTTGCGTCGACAAGGTGCTCAGTTAATGCGTTTTATGGGCGGGGAGGTCATCCGCGACTAGATCGTGCTGCATCGCGCTGGATCAGCAGCGAGCGCCTCGGGTCCCTCACAAAGATCGTGCATCTGTTCGGTCGTCCGTGACGGGGAGGCAGGATCGTGTGTAAACGCCTTGCCAGCTGAGACGTTGGCAGCGAGCGCCGGGTCTCTCCTGCTTGGTATTGACTGTGCTAGAATCGCGTCCCCGTTCGACTGGCCGAGACGATAATGGCAGCGAGCGCCTCATACGCAGCGCGCATTGTTGCCTGGGATGGGATCGCGTCCTGCGGGCACCACACCGCGATTTTGCGTTGTGCGTCGTTGCGACGTGGGCGACGATCCGGACGACGGCACCTAGTCGTGGCTTTTCGGGACAAGACGTTACTAGACGCGGTCGTCCGCGAGTGGGGCCGTCCACGACGTCGGCCTGCGGATGCTGCGTCGGTCGTTAGCCCAGCAGATCAACCTCCCGCTGCGCTGCTCCTCGTCGCTCCGTTTCTGTTCCTCGCGGTCGTGGTGCCGAGTTGAGATATGTATCTTTGCGCGGGGTATATACATATCTCGTGTTCCTTCTATACAGCTGCAATTTTGCTTCACGCCTGTGCTACCCCAGTTCAAAAAGAAAACCCCAGCACGAGAGGAGAAAGGGAGCAAATAGCCGAAGGGGGGGAAAAAGAATGCTAATACACAACCCACGGCTTGACCTTGGTTCGAACAGGGGACTCCCCTAAATGGTCGCTCCTTGTCAGCTATTAAGGGCGTGTTACCGATACGCAACCAGGCCATTTGGAGCTTACACTTAGATAAGTTAAGTACGAATCACTTGCGTATTTGGGGAACTCAATAAAATCAAAAATACTCAAACTGGGACTACGGGCTGCTCAAATATGACATAAATCTCTTTCAAGAAACTAAACTATACCCTGGTCAGGAACTGGCTATGCCCGTGCCCGATGGCTATGAAATCTTTGCTGTGTCCCGGGAACCCTCAATGACGTTCGAAGATCAGTGGGGTGGCGTGGCCGCTATAGTGCGCAGCGACATACACGCTGTAGTCGATGATGCGCTGTGTGGTCCGGACCTTTTGGTGCTCAAGGTAGGCGCGGCGTGCATATTCTGCGCGTACATTCTCCCGCACGGGTCTCCGTGGGAGCGCTGGGCTAGGATTGCGCCTCTTCAGAAACTCGCCGAATCGGTGGCTATTGCACGTGTACGGCGCGACGCCATCTGCGTGATTGGCGACTTGAACGGACGGATTGGGGATAGAAGAGCCGCGCCGGCCTTGCACCCTCCGCGTTTCTCCATGGACACCACTGTGAACACGCAAGGGCGGGCGATACTGCAGCTGGCCGCGGACCATGATCTGCGGATACTCAATGGCGACCTACACTTTGGTAATGCATCCTGGGCGTGGACATTCTGTCAGATGCGCAAAGAGCGGCCGTGTCGCTCAGTCATAGACTATGTGGCCTGTGACATGGCTGCGTGCGCAATGGTGGATGACTTTGAAGTCGGGCCAATTAGAAGTCAATGGTCAGACCATGCGCCCCTCATCCTCAAAATGACTATTCCGGATGTGCCTGCCCTAACCAATCCAGGAGGTACATATCTGCGAGAGAAGATTGAGGAGTCAAAAACCAGTGAGGCTTACTTGGATGTGTTGCTTCGCGAAACGCTGCAAGCGAAGAAGTCGCCAGAAGATAGACGAGCCGCATTCTACGGACCGGCGTA